GCGGAGGCAAAAATGGTGTGGTTAATTGAGGTATGACCGAGTGGGGGGGGGGGGGGGGGGGCGGCAGCAGCCGTTAGGCAGATGTGTTGTGTTCCAATCCACAAACGAACTTAGCTTTCGCGCGGAATCATTATGTAGTGCTCTGAGGTACAGCCCCGGTTTGACGCGGCGCTGCGTGTCTCTAGAAGTAAGTTGGGGGCGGACGAGGGGTTTGGACAGCGGGGGTGGTGCTCCTCGCAAGTGTGCATCCATTGTACTGGAAAAAAAAACGCGTGCTTGTCGAGCAACGCGTGCTTGTCGTCTTTAGACATTATTCTTGGTTTCTCGCTCCCTTGACCCTCGATATGGTCTCGATGTAAAAGTATGTTACTTACGAAGACTGGACACATGGTTTTGTTTCGACCATCGATCGGGCAGGATACCACCGTGAGCATCTTACGATCCTTGTCCCCCGGTCCCAGTAGCCTTCGCAGGGTATTTCTATTTATGGAAACATGTTGGATAAAGCATACAATCGGGGAAGTTGTGGGTTAGGGGATAGCGTCTGCGTCCCCCCTCCCCGTTCTATTTCCGAATAAACCTATTAATCGTGCGAAGGCGGTCCCCCGGAGAAGGATAGGAAGACGGCATACAAAATCACCGTCAGTACAGCAGTCTCCGCAGGTTGTTCTGAGTATTCAAACATTTTGAATAAAGTATAGAATCGACAAAGTTCGGGTCTAGCGTAAGGAAGTCCGTCACTGTCCTTGGGTTTCCCAGAGGGCAGAATCTCTGCCTACCTGCTGGCTTGCTTCCTGTCGGTCTTTTTTTTTTTTTCGTCTCCGTTTTTTCTCAACAGCAGGTGCTTCATCAATCGCCCCCCTACTGGCTGCTGTGTTTCGAGTTTGGCAACCCAATCAGCCCACCGTCTTCGCGGTATTTTTTTCGGTCATTTTTCTGAGCGAACGATCTCCCCGCTTTTCACGATACCGACACTGCTGTTGGTTTTTTTTCTTTCTTCCTTTGTGCCGCTTTGTTTACAGGTGGTTGTGCGAGGAGTCATGAGGCATGCCGTGCTAAAAACGGAGAACGTGATCGTTACGGGAAGGCTGCACGGAAACGTCGAGGCGAAGACGCTAGAGGTGAGCCTGGCCTACCCAGCAGTACGGCTGCTGCTGTGCTGTTTCAACTTTTTTCAGACCATATGCAGACAAGCACAGAAAGACTGCCCGTCAGAAATATAACCACGGCGGTCGAACTTTTGTTGTGGATACCTCTTGTTGAGGGTGTTTGCCCCCCGTCTTCAGTCGGGTGGACAAAACCCGTCCCGTTTTGTTTTGGAATTTGCCGACGTTGTCTGCTGAGAGTCCGTCTGTGAGAAGAATCAATTACCCTCCTGGGGTGGAATTTCCTTGTTAGCTCCACGAAGACATTTACTTGCATCGACACGTCATCCAAGCTTCCTACCATACACGTACCGCACCCGTGCGGTTCGTCGTGCACGGTCTAGACTGGCTTTCAGAGCTCGGTTGCTCGAGAGGCTGCCCGTGCCGAAGAGGGTGGTGATGGTGGTGTTGGAAACAGATCTCGATCGACCTGAGCTGTAGCTTTCCTTGCACATGTACTGTACATCTGTCCGCTTTCGTGTCCAGCAGGGAAGGTCCTCCCAGATGGTGTGCATATCGCTCCGCACAATTACGGTGGTCTTGGACCGCTAGCAACCCGTCGTTTCATTAAGCTGCTCTCCTTCTTTGAGCCTGTGAGTTCCCCCCTTCGCATTCCTTGAATTCCCGCCCCCTTTTTTGCCGCGTGCTCTTGGGTGTTTTGTGTTGGGTTTTTTCGCGGTGCCCGTCCCCCGCCAGATCTCTAAGGGCGCCCTGTTCCTGGGCAAGGCCATGGTGGGTTCGGCGACGGTGGCGGGGAGGCTGGAGGGGATCCTTGTTGTGGGCAACATGCTCCCCATGAGGAGCTCGGGACACTGGGACGGGGTGTTCCGCTATGGGCAGCTGAACGTCCAGGTTAGCCCCCCCCCCCCCGAACACGAGAAACAAAAACCGCTACATATCATATGCTCTGCTTTGCAGCGGCGGCCCGCGGGTACTAAAAAGGGTGGGAGTCTTTTATAGGCAGCAGCAGCAGCAGCAGCAGCAGCGCTGGTCCAGACGTACGATTCGGCTGGGACGCGCGCTTTGACCTGGTTTTTTATCGAGGGTGCTCATGGGGCAGTGTTTCTAGCGAAAGCCATGGCATGTTTCCTGTACGACCCGGCTTGTTGGTTTGACACTACCAGTATTAATTTTGTCGGGACTACGATGAAAGACGGGGGGCTGCGCTATGGTAGTGCCAACAAATGATTTTTTTGTGGCCATGTGTTTCTTCCGATGTTTCTCTGGGGACCAAGTCCTTCCCCGGTCTGGCTACTTCTCGCATCTTCCCTTAAGTCGTTTTTGTCTGTATTGGCACGTATATTGAGTCTGGTTAGCGTCCACGAATCTAAGACGTTGCTGCCGAGAGCAATGCTCGTGGCCGGCCTCCGTGTGTCCGCGCATTCTTTGCTACGAAGGTGGGGGGGTGGGGGCGTGTCAGGCGCGCAACGCACTCGACAAACTACTCAGTGCGTTTGGTTATTGATGCTTGAAAACGCGGGCAAGTTTGTTGTTTTGGCTGACGGTGCTGCTCGCGTGTGTTGCGACCTCTCCTTTCCCTCGGGCGGGCTCGTGCGTGTGTGATTGCCTACGCTCGCCCCATGTGCACGACCGGGTCTACGGTTTCGCTTTGGCTATTCGGTCACGAAACGACAACAACACCATCAACACCCACACAACGGACGACCCCCCAAAACCGGCTTCACGGTGTAACTGACAAATATCTACAGCACGGGGGAAAGCTCACGGGAGCCGTAAAGGCCGCCTCCCCGGCGGACGTGGGCATCGGGGACATCCCCGTCCCAGACCTCCCGCCGGGAACTTGGGACGACTTCTGGGGCAAGGGGGGCGGCGGTAGGGCGGAGGGGGGGAGCGGGGACGTCTCTTCCTCCTCCGCCTCCTCTTCCGGCAGGTCGACTTCTCTCCGAAGAGTGGTGAGCCGGAGCTCCGCGAAATTTCGAAGCGCGCGTATACTCCGGTCCGCGGGACAGGTGCGGTACAATTAGTATGATATGTTGGGGCGTTTTGCGCGATCGGTCGGGCGAACGGGCGGGCGCGCGCGGTGCGGGGGGG